ATTGGGTCAGTGACCGTGACCAATATGACCGAAAATCATTCTTTTTTTATAATGCCCATATTAAGGGAGTAGGCTCATAGCAGTTTTAAATTTGGAAGCCATGATAGGTTACCACTCAAATGGCCTGGCAAGGTTTCAATTTGGGTTGGCGGCGATGTACTGCTTACTGTTTGCTGTGCATAAACATTAATTTGGTCCACAATCAAATATAAGAGGTCTACAATGAAAATCAGCTAAAAAAAAGTCAAGGGGCGTTGTTAAGTTGGCTGTTTCCACCTTCCAAATCTGGAGGCAGCCAATTAGGGTTTGCAAGTGACAGAAATAGTTCCAATAGTCCTGCTGGTGTAGAAATCCACTTGAGGGTAGAAGTCCAAAGATAACACACCAAACACAGCTAAACGGACCTTAAGAGTATATATGGTGTCCTAAGAAACAGCTAAGATCACAAAGGTCAAAGACATAAGACCTCGACACATGTAATCTTTGAAACCTGGTATGCTCACTGGCACTATTAACTCCAGCAATATGGCCACCTGAGGACTTCCTGTTAGCAATGATGCACTTCTGGTCCAACAGAGCAGCTCCAGTTTCCCCACCAGCTTGAATTCTGCAGCTTCCTCCACTCTCACCTTTCAAGGATCATGGATCTTGCCACATTATACCTGTTGGTCAGACTGTCAGTGAGAGTGCCCCTCAGATAACCAGTGTAAGTACCATTTATGATTGCTGTTTTTATGTGGATATCATTTACTCACTGTTGAATTTGTTTTTAACCCCTTATTGAGTCGATAAAGTGTCCATTAGATTTGAAATGAGATTGGAATCTGGACACCTCAAAGGATAAGTTCACATTTTGAACATGTTACATGTTCCACCAGTTTTTAGGGTGGATCTTGTAACATGTTTCCATAGTCGCACCCTCCGGTTCCCCCTTCCTCTGACAGATAGTATGGGGAGACACAGATCAGCAGGCCCAGCAGGCACTAGAAGAGCAGGCTGTGGGATCGTGATGATGTCATCACTTACTGACACATTGCACATTGATGGATGTTCACACTCATAAAAAACACGAGACAGAGTCAGACATTACCTTTCTCCGCAGGTGCAGCTCCACCTCTGCAAATGAATGGGAAGAGAAAGGCTGGAACTTCACAGTGATAAGCAGCTGCCAGCCGGCTTGCAGTAAGGGACCGAGTCTCAGAGGAAAACTGGAAGGAGCGGCGGTAGCTCAGTTGCCACAGTGGCCCCAGACACCCGGCATGTTCCTCTGTCCTTTCTTCCTACCCTCTGCCGCCCCTTTTTTCAGCTGAAGGATCATTCATGATGTGGCGGTGTCCTATACAAAGAGAGAGCCAGCCTGTGCTGCACTCAGGCACCCCTAGGTGGCAGTGCACCCTAGGTGGCCACCTAGTTTGCCTCTTGGAAGTAACGGTCCTGCCTACAAGTGCCGGTAGCCTTAGCAGCTGTCGGCTTGTAGTTTTCAATGAACTATCACGGCGCTTTGGAGTGTCGTGTAAGTTCATTGAAGCTTCCTGTCAGAATATCTGTTTGACCGTACATCCCATACAGCAAGCAGATATTCTGACAGGTCTGCAGGAGACCTGCATGGCATCAGCGGTCTACTGATCGCTGGTGCAATGCTTTACAGGCTCCTTTAGACAAAAATAATAAATGCACTTTTTTTACCTGCAAAAAAATGTGCATTTATTATTTTTGTCCAAAAGGTTAACTTATCCTTTAATTCATCACCATCATAAGAGTGTTTATTGCTTGGGCTTATAGTTGAGCTTCATGTGTGGCAATGGAATTAACCTGCAATTGGCACTCAAAGCCAAGTAATCCACATACGCATCAACACTATAATCTGGGCTGTTTATTAGGACACCAAATATACTCTAAAGGTCCTTGTGCTGTGTGTTTTGCATTATCTTTTGACTTCAAGCACCTCTAGAAGGCTTCTATGGGCCTGTGCTCAAATTCTTGGTGGCTGCGGTTCCATTACAATACTAGTGCAAGCCACCTCACCAGCTTGTACTGCACTGCTGGCGCTTGCCATTTCACCATGAAATACTGCAGTGCTGGTGTCTAAAAGGCTAGGATGTACCACATTGCTGGTCCATGCCAGATCACCAAAAAATAGTGCAGAGCTATTACTTGCGCCCTGCTACATAGTTATGTATTTCTAGCACTTCAGCAGCATGGGATCTTTCTACAGGTTCATATTCTGAGCCTGATTCTGACAGTGAGGCCTTCGCTCTCATCTCATGCTCAGATTCCTGTACGCCTCCTCGCTAGGGTTTCTTTTTTTGGGGGCTTTTTGGCCAGTAACTTTACAGGTACCTAGTGGGGACTATGGAAGAAAGAGCTCCTGGCTAGCATTTAGGGACTGCTTGAGTGCTAGAAATAAAATAAACTGCTAATACTAGCAGTGATCAGGGCTGATCCTTCTAACATTACATTTTGGGGACACTAGCATAGTTCTAATTGTAATCAAGATATTGATCTATGCAGACATTATGCTAGTAATGGCGGTGATCAGCGACTTATAATGGAACTGTGATAGTGTGGTGGGTAATCTAGTGCTAACGAACAATGGCTGGGAGGGACACTAACTGACTCTGACACTATATGATGTTGCTAGTGACACTAATACAGTGAGCAGCGATAATACAGTACACTGTACTCATGACATTGGCTTGGTGACAGGAATGATTAGGAGGACAATCAAGGGTTTAATTGTGTGCCTAACAAAGTATATGTGTGCTGATTTTACTCACAGGCTCTGGCTGGGTCAGTTCTGAACAGTAACTGAGAGCAGAAGAATTCCAGCTAGATCCTGTGTGTTGTGTTTACAGATACACAGATTTCTGTGCTGTGATTGGCCACAGCCAATCAGCAGGTATACAGCCAAAATAATTGGCTGTAGCCTTTTGACAGACTCGTGCTGTGTCCAAATACAGCACAAATCAGCAAGGGGTGTGCACGTACCTCTAAACCTGGAAGTTTACTGCAACGTGTGGGTATGTTGTGGTGCCTGGGGGGGAACCCAGCCGCCAGCAGTAAATGTACCATTGGAGGTCGGCAAGTGGTTAAACTGACAGTGGAAGCCATTGTTTATATCATAAATATGTATATCAGTGTAAGGTCTTATGCACACAAAGCTTGGCTCCTACAATGTAAAAAACAGACACTTTCAGAGGGCACAGGTTCAGCATACAGCCCACTGCCACTTGCGGGAGCTGGCAGTACTTGCATACAGGGACATGTAGCACCCTCCTAGTTAGGCTGCTAGGAAGCTAGGTAAATTGAGTACTTTTTGGCTCCTCTGTAATCAGTGGAACAGTTGTTTATTTCTTTTTTCTAATGTGGGTTTCACAGGCTGCAAGTTTGATTGCTCTCCCTGTCCAGAATGTTTTGGGACATAGGAGTGGAAAAAGGCAAATGGCCTACAAGAATAATAATGGGGATGCAGCCAATCCCTGGGGGAGGTGTGCCCAGATGGTGGCTGGGAGCACATAAACAGCCTGAGGTGCTCAACAGCAATGTGTTTCCTGTCCATGGGATTCCACCTGTTCACCTGCTCCCAATTTGACATCTATGTGGCTGCAGGTCCCTGAACACAGAGAGTGTGCATTCAGGGACCCACACCCGAACCCACATGCATGTTAAATTGGAAGCAGTGGCTGTGTCCATGCAGCCATTGTTTCCCAATTGATATAATAAAGACTGCCTGCATTCAGATGCACAGAAAACCTTACACGGCAAAACAAAGCACTTACACGGGTGTACACTTAAGTACGCCCATGTGAATGAGGCTTTAGGCCCCTTTCACAAGACCCTTCTGTCCTTCAGATGGTCCATTCATCTCTAAGGACTTCCTCCGATCCAAGCCAGGCCACTAGAAAAAAAAAAAAAAAACAGAAGGGGATCCGTTATCCTCCGTGTAGACGGATCGTATCAGAGGATAGTTCGGTGTAAACAGACAGCTGGTTTGCTTACACTCGGTCGCCCATAGAGCAGAGCAGATCCAGTCAGTCTCCATTCTACATTAACTAACAGGAGCAGCCTTTAGGTGTGATTATGTTGTCTGCCGGATATGGCTAAATAAACTTACAGTACATGCCAGTGACATCATCGGATTGTGACCTTTTGTGTTTGTTAAAGGCATATGCTTCAGTTTCCGTAACATTACTGATGTGCACCAATTTCAGCAATAGATTCTTAAAGTCCAAGTCGAGGCAAAAATTTAATTTAAATAGTGCATTGTGCATTAGTTCATCAACTCGTCCTAAGCCATCCTGCAGTGTAATGGATTAAAGTCACAGATTCCTCTAACAGCCAAGATAATTCCCTAATCTGTGAACCAGGCATTTTTCCATGCTTGTTATCGTCTTGGACACTGGTCTCCTCACTGCCCCTGTGAGTTCTCTTGCCTCTGGAGCCTATGAGAGGGGACCTGGTCCTTGGAAAAGTTTCCTCCACCAACAAGAGATGGTATCAAGTAAACAGAAGATGAAAGAAGTTTTGTCACATGACCAAGTAGGTAAAATGGGCATTTGCAATGTTTTGACCAGGCCATTTTTTGCATTACAGCGCTGCGTTATGTTAACTGAAAATTGCGTGGTCATGCAACGCTGCACCCAAATTAAATGTTCATCCTTTTTTTCCCCACGAATAGAGCTTTCTATCATTGATATTTGATCACCTGAGCGTTTTTTATTTTTTCTGCTATAAAAAAAAAAGACCAACATTTTTGAGAAAAAAAACAATATTTTTTACTTTTTGCTATTAAACATGTCCAGTAAAAAAAAGTAAAAAATAAAATTTGATCATAAATTTATGCCAAAATGTATTCTGCTACATGTCTTTGCTAAAAAAAATCCCAATACGTGGAAATTAAATGGTTTACGTGAAAGTTATAGCATTAACAAATGTCGGTATATACCGTATTTTTCACTCCATAAGACGCACTTTTTTCCCCCCAAAAAAGGGGGGAAAATGTTAGTGCGTCTTATGGAGCGAATATGGAGCGGCCGGTCCGGTATTTCCACCGCCTCCGTGTCAGAATACCGGGCTGGCCGCTCAGCTCTGCAGCACGACCTTATGCAGATGACTGCTGACCTTTGGGGAGGTGGGGAGCGGATACCAGAATTTGACAGGTACCTGCTCTTACTTCCGCGGAGTTGTTCTTTGACCTTACCTGTTCCTCTATCCAGCGGCACGCTGTCTTCCCGGCTTCTGTAGTGTCGGCGCTGGGCTTGACAGCCGGGTGCCAAGTGCGCATGCGCAAGAAGCGGTGCTTTTTGTGAATGGTAAGGCGGTACCTGGGACACATGACAGATCCCAGAAGCCGCCGGACCAATCACAAAGCGCAAGTGCTTCTCGCTCATGCGCACTGGGCACCCGTCTGTCATGCCGAGCACCGACACTACAGAAGCCGGGAAGACAGCGCGCGGCTGGATAGAAGAACAGGTAAGATCAAAGAACAACTCTGTGGAAGTAAGAACGGGTACCTGTCAAATTCAGGTACCCGCTACCCCCCCCCTCCCCAAAGGTCAGCAGTGATCTCCTGTACTGTCCGCAGTCTCTGGTCATCCCTGTGCTGTCCGCAGTCTCTGGTCATCCCTGTGCTGTCTGCAGTCTCTGGTCTTCCCTGTGCTGTCCGCAGTCTCTGGTCATCCTTGTGCTGTCCACAGTCTCTGGTCATCCCCTGTACTATGTCTGCAGTTCATTAGTTCAGAATTTTTTTTCCTGTGTTCTGCCTCTAAAACCTAGGTGCGTCTTATGGTCAGGTGCGTCTTATGGAGCGAAAAAATACGGTATACTGGGATTTTAAAATTTTTTTTTTTACTAGTAATGGCGGCGTTCAGCTACTTATAGCGGGACTGCGGCGGGCATTCTGACACTGGGGGGAACTGACTTGATGTCACTAACATCCCCAGTGACACCAATACCATGATCACTGCTAATAAAATGGCACTGGGCAGGAAAGGGTTACCAATGTGGGGCGATCAAAGGGTTAGCTGTGTGTGTGCTTTCAACTGTAAGCACAGTGCTTTGTATGGCTCTGCTATGCAGAGTCATACAAAGCAGTGTGCAGGAGCTGATAGGGGAGAGAACCGTATTGTTTACGTACAGTTCTCTCCCCCCGTGGGTAATGCTTGGTGATCATCGGGTGTTGGCAAGTAATCACCGTCCAGGACCCGGTGATTGACAGCTGAGGCCGAGAATAGTGACGTGGGTAGGGCGCGCGCCTCCTACCGATAAATGCAAAATCATGTATATATACGTGATTTTGTGCACCCCTAATGCTCTGTAGCAGTTTATCTGCTATAGGGCAGCGGGAAAGCGGTTAAAGAATTACCCCACTTCACAGATTAAGAAACTGGCAGTAATTAAAACCAGTTGTGAGCTGATTTACAGAGGTAAGAGCCAGTGCTCAGTTAAGGGCATGTAATGTACAGTATATGCTGAGAAGCTGTCATGTATGTGATAGCTTTCTGCACAGGGCTCTATCCCTGGCTCCATTCAACTGTCAACCAGGAGATACTGGAGATGTCTTTACCCAAATATTGCAATGCCTATAATTTAGAAATGACTGGAGTTGCTGATTGGGTACCCTTAATGGGAAATTGAGTGTAGTTCCCTATCAAGTCTGCCATACTTTTGGTTGACATCATTTGGCAGTAGGTAAGATTCAAAAGCTACCTTTTGGACTGAATGATGGTAACAGCCCCTCCCCCTCCACTTCTGGGGCTGTTTAGGCATGTGCAGATGTGGCCCTGCTAGTTCCCAGGCTCTCTCTTTTGGACTCAAAATGAGGCTTGGATAGCCTTACAATGCACCTGCACACCGCCTCGAATCTGCAGCCCCTTTAAATTATGCTATGTTTAATAGGAATATGTAACAAATAAGTAGGGGTTATTTCAATTTGGCAGCAAAATTATAAATATACTTTAACCACTTGCCATCCTGAGGATTTACCTCCCTTAATGACCAGGCCTTTTTTGCTATTCGGTGCTGCAATATTTCAACTGATAATTGCGCGGTCATGCATTGCTGTACCCAAACAAAATTTACGCCTTTTTTTCACACAAATAGAGCTTTCTTTCAGTGGTATTTGATCACCACTGTGCTTTTTATTTTTCACGCTATAAATAAAACAAGACTGAAAATTTTGAAGAAAAAGGATATTTTTTACTTTTGGCTATAAAAAATATATAGTAAACTCAAACTTAGTCATAAATTTAGGCCAAAATGTATTTTGCTACACGTTTTTTGGTAAAAAAAAATCCCAATGAGTGTATATTGATTGCTTTGTGTGAAAGGTATAGCATCTACAAACTATGGTATAGATACTGCAATTTACACCATTTTTTTGCTATAAAGCACTGCACTAGTTTAACTGAGAATTGTGCGGTCATGCAACGTGGTACATAAATTAAATTTATGTCCTTTTTTCACATAAATAGAGCTTTCTTTCAGTGGTATTTGATCACCTGTGCTTTTATTTTTTGGTGCTATAAACAAAAAATGTTTTGAACAAAAAAAAAAAGTTATGAAAAAAAATTAGATTTTCTCATTTCTGTCATACAAAATATCCAAAAACTCAAATTTTGTCATAAATTTAGGCCAAAATGTAAACATGTTTTTTGGTTAAAAAATCCCAATAAGTGTATATGCTCTATGTGAAAGTTATAGCATCTAGAAACTATGATATACAGTTGTGACCAAAATTATTCAACCCCCAATGCTGTAAAGGGGTTTAGGGACTATAGTGTACATTTGGAATTGTATTCAGAATCAAATCCTACAAGGACGTTGTAACTACCCAAATGCAACTAAAATGACATCAATGTTTATGTAATACAGTAGTAAATGGTTCTTATGTGGTTTCTTCATTGCCACAATATTCAACCCCTTAAAGACTACCACTCTGAAGAACAGAGGTTCATACAGGTGCTTTCCATCAGGTATTGAAAACACCTGTGGATGTCACCGAGCAGCAATCAAGCATAATAAGCACCAATTAGGCAGCTTTTAAAATGACTGTGATACTCAGCTCCTTCTAGACATTTACTGGTGTTGGTGAAGGCAAGAGAATGGTCCAGGAAGACAAGAGAAGAGGTGATTTCTCTTCACAGGAAGGGCAATGGCTATAAGAAGATTGCAAAGATGTTAAACATACCAAGAGACACCTTAGGAAGCATCATTCGCAAATTCAAGGCAAAGGGCACTGTTGAAACGCTACCTGGTCGTGGCAGAAAGAAGATGCTGACTTCGACTGCTGTGCGCTACCTGAAGCGTAGAGTGGAGAGAAGTCCCGTGTGACTGCTGAGGAACTGAAGAAAAGATTTGTCAGATGTGGGTACAGAAGTTTCAGCCCAGACAATAAGACGCACACTGCGTAATGAAGGCCTCCGTGCCAGAACTCCCAGGCGTACCCCCTTGCTGTCTCCAAAGAATAAGAAGAGTCGACTGCAGTATGCCAAAAGCCATGTGGACAAACCACAAAAGTTGTGGGATAGTGTTCTGTGGACTGATGAAACAAAATTAGAACTGTTTGGGCCCATGGATCAACGCTATGTTTGGAGGAGGAAGAACAAGGCCTATGATGAAAAGAACACCTTGCCTACTGTGAAGCATGGTGGAGGGTCAATCATGCTTTGGGGCTGTTTTGCTTCTGCAGGTACAGGGAAGCTTCAGCGTGTGCAAGGTACCATGAATTCTCTTCAGTACCAGGAGATATTAAAAACGTGATGCAGTCCGTCACACACCTGAGGCTTGGGAGACGTTGGACCTTTCAACAGGACAATGATCCCAAGCATACCTCCAAGTCCACTAGAGCATGGTTGCAGAGGAAAGGCTGGAACATTTTGGAGTGGCCATCGCAGTCACCAGACTTAAATCCGATTGAGAACCTCTGGTGGGACTTAAAGAAAGCAGTTTGCAGTGCGCAAGCCTAAGAATGTGACTGAACTGGAGGCCTTTGCCCATGAAGAATGGGCGAAGATATAGTAATCGCTGCAAGACACTTGTGTCAAGCTATGCTTCACGTTTAAAAGCTGTTATAACTGTAAAAGGATGCTGTACTAAGTACTAAGATTGAATGTCACTTGGGGGGTTGAATAAAACTGATAATGCTGTGAGCACAGAAAAGACATTTGTGGTTATTTCATTATAACTGTTATGTTATATTTGTCTGACCTACAAGTGCCTCTTTAATGTAAAATGTAAGCAAGATGACTGAATGATCAAAAGCAATGTCAAACTGGCCAAAACACTCAATTTCAGTGGGGGTTGAATAATTTTGGTCACAACTGTAGATAATGGAATTTACACAGCTTTTACTTTCTGACTGCCCATCTCATTTCTTGATGTGCTAAAATACCAGGATAGTACAAACACCCCCAAATTACCCCTTTTCAGAAAGTAGACACCCCAAGCTATCTGATGAGAGGAATATTGAGTCCACGGAAGATTTATTTTTTTTCCACAAGTTTTTGGAAAATGACAAAAACATTTTTTTTTTTTTTACACAAAGTTGTCATTTAAATTATATATTTCTCACACAAGCCATGTTTATATGTGGAATTACACCCCAAAAATACATTCTGCTCCTTCTACTGAGTATGGGGATACCACATGTGTGAGACTTTTTGGGAGCCTAGCTACATACAGGAACCTGAGATCTAATGACCACTTTGAAAGCCTGAAAGTGCGTAACTTCCTCATTTCACGTCCTCACTACCTATCACAGTTTTGGAGGCCCTGAAATGAAAGGATAGCACTAAACCCCCCAAATGACCATTTTTTGGAAAGTAGACATCCCAAGGAATTTAAAAAGAGGCATGGTGGAATTTTTGCAGATCTAATTTTTCTCATAAGGTTTTGCAATATAAAAAAAGAAAAGAAAAAATATGTTTTTGTTTTCTTTTTTCAGTTTTCCAAAAACTTGTGGCAACAAACGAGAGCAGCAAAATACTCACAGTGCTTCTTATCAAATTCCTTGGGGTGTCTACTTTCCAAAAAGGGGTCATTTGGGGGAGTTTGGTGCTATCTTGGCATTTCAAGGCCTCCTACACTGTGATAGGTAGTCCGGAAGTGTAATGAGGAAATAAAGCCCTTTAAAAGCCTGAAGGTGCTTATTGGATTTTGGGGTCCTGTACTTGTCTAGACTGTCAAAAAGTCTCTCACATGTGGTACCCCCATACTCGGGAGAAGTCGCAGAATGTATTTGGGGGAGTAATTCCACATATACGCATAGCATTTGTGAGCAATAAATCCCTTAAGTGATAATTTTGTGTACAAAAATGTTTTATTTTTTTTGTAATTTTCCAAAAACTTGTGGCAAAAAAATAAATTTCTTCTATTGACTCAACATGCCACTCAGCAAATAATTTGGGGTGGCTACTTTCCAAAAAGGGGTCGTGTTGGGGGGTGGGGGCATTTTATGCCAAGCATTAGAAGTTTATGCCACATATCATTCACTCTTCTAACCACCTGAAGACCAAGCCTTTTCTGACACTTTTTGTTCCCATGAAAAAAAAAATCTGTATTTTTTGCTAGGAAATTACTTTTAACACCCAAACATTATATATTTTTTAAAGCAGGCACCCTAGTGAATACAATGGTGGGTGCTGAAATTTTTTATGTCACATAGTACTCACGCAGCAATTTTTCAAACGCTATTTTTTTTAAACAAATACACTTTTTTTACTTTTAATGCACAAAAACACAATATATTGGCCAATTATTTGGTACTATACAAAAGATGATGGTATGCCAAGTAAATAGATACCAAACATGACATGCTTCAAAACTGTGCAAGCTCTGTGTAATGGCGACAAACTGCATACATTTTTAATATCCATAGGCAGCATTTAAAAAGCCTCTACAAGCTACCATTTTAGATTTACAGAGGAGGTCTAGTGCTAGAATTACTGCCCTTGATGTGATATGCCTCACATGCATGTTGCAACCGCTGTTTACATACCGACTCAGGGTCAACGCTCACTCATACAGGTGTGCGTGCAGGGGGGGGGGGTTTATTCTTAAGTTATTTTTACACTTTCCCTTTCATTTTTTTTATCACTTTTAATGCTATCACAGGGAATGCAAATATCCCCTATAACTTCAATGGGCCTTGCCATATATTCTCTTTTGGGAAATCTGGGGTCTATCAAACTCTAGATATCTTCTCTGCCCTTACATTATCTAATCAAACCAAGATTGGTGTGATCAGATGCTTTCCCAATTTACAATTGGTGCTGTTTATATCCTGCAAAACTGAAGTGATGAAATTTTCTCAGCTCTATGGTCAGCTGGCAGAAACACCAGCTGCATTCTCAGGTTCCCCTGATGGCACAGGACTGCTATAGAAGGCCATGGAAGGCAGTGGGGGAGGGGGGCATCATCTCCCGCTGCTTGTAAAAGCAATCCTGCAGGGAATTAGCCACTAGGATTGCTTTTACATGAAAGCCGATTGCCGGCTGAAAAAAAAACGATACCAGGATCTGCAGCTGCAGGCATCATCCTGGTATAACCATTCAAAGTCCAGTGATGTACCAGTACGCCGCTGGTCCTTGTTGGGTATATATGCTATGTTCTTTTTTTTTTTTGCATGTAGCCTGTGGGCTGAATGAAAAGAAGATAAGAAATATCTGCCTGAACAAGTGTGTGGTATACCCACCATTTGAATATACCTCCCTGCATCCACCCACTTCTAATGGTGGGCACACATTAGGTCACACGGTGCCACATGCACCAATTTTAAGATTGTACAAATGTCTAAATAGTGGCGCGCTTGAACAAAAATTGTCTACATATAAGTGGTACCCCATATGGAAAAAGGATGACACCCAAAAGTCCCAAGTCCCAAACTATCTTGCCACTACTCCCCATGTAGCATGGGCATCCAGGGGGCTCCACGTGACTATCGTTTCCCTCGTAAATCCGAAACTTATATGTATAGCCCGTTGCCCTCTCACAGGTCTTATACATCTTGACCCCATATCTGGCACGCTTGCTGGGGAGAAATTGTTTGAATGCAAGGCTGCCAAAAAAATTAATGAGGGACTCATCAACACAGATTTTTTGATGGGGAATATAGACATCTGCAAATTTTTGGTTAAGGTGATTTACGAGGGGCCAAATTTTGTGGAGCAAATGCAGGGTTACCTCGAGGACGACAGTGTATTGTTGTTGAAATGCATAAAACACATTATACTCTCATATCTATGCCTGGCAATGGCAGCAGAGAACAATATGATGAATCGGGTCTGTGGATGAATATAACTGCAATTCATTTTTTTAGTAATGCCAATGTTGATTGTAAGGCCCAAAAAATATTTATTTAAATTCGGAAACCGCAATAGGTTTCTGTGCGAATGGTCTGGCAAGGTTTGAATTTGGGTTGGCGTCGATAAATTGTTGTGCATATAAATTGCTTTGATCCACAATCAATGAATACAGATCATCCATGAAAAACAGCTCCAAAAAAATCAAGGGGAATAGCTAAATTTGCTATTTCCCCCTGAATTCCAGGTTGGGCAGTGAATGGGGGAAGTAAGGGTGCTGTAGAATTTGTGGGCTGCCAATCCAGATTTGCAAACACATCCAGGATACTAGGCTCTACTGGCCTGTGTGCGAATTCTTGGTGGTTGGGGGACAATACTTGTGCTCGTCAGCGCACCAGCTTATACTGCACTTATGGGACCCCCACCACGTCACCAAGTCATACTGCAGTGATGGTATGTGGATGTACTAGGCCGCTGGTGCTCGCCAGTTCACCAAAAGGTAGAGCGGCACTAGTACTGGCACTCTGCTGCATATGAGAGTCAGCAAAATTTATCAGTAAGTGCTAGCAGAGATCAGGCCTGATTCTGAGAACACTGCGTTTTTTTTGTGTACATTGTATCAAGTGACAGTGACCTACTGACATTGCACTTGCTGGGGGGAGAAGGGGGGGGGGTAAGCATAGGGGCTAAATGCAGGTGCTGTCAGGTGCTGGAGCTGATCCTGCTAACACTGTGATTTTGGGGTCACTATACTAATGTGAACGCTGGTATACTGCTGATCTGATCAAAGATATTGATCCGTTCAGACACTATACTAGCAACGGAGGTTTATTGTGTATGAGCATGTTCCTGGCAATCAAGGGGTTAAATGTAATTACTGGTGTACTGACGGGCAATCTGATGCTATCTGGGAGGGGCGTGAAAACCACGGGAGCGTGGATCACGTATATATAAGTGATTTTGTGCACTCATGCCGCCCTGTAGCAGCATTTCTGCTATAGGTCAGTCAGAAAAGCAGTTAAAGAAGCTGTTTGCGTTACAGCGCTGCGTTACTTTAACTGACAATTGTGCGGTCATGCAACGTTGCACCCAAATTAAATTTATATCCTTTTTTCCCACAAATTGAGCTTACTTTTGGTGGTATTTGATCGCCTGTGAGTTTTTGAGAAAAAAAAAACTATATTTTGGACTTTTTTACTATTAAACATGTCCAGTAAAAAAATGAAGAAATAAAAATTCATCATAAATTTAGGCCAAAATGTATTCTGTGACATGTCTTTGCTAAAAAAAATCCCAATATGTGTAAATTAAGTGGTTTACTTGAAAGTTATTGCGTTTACAAATGACGGTATAGATACTGGAATTTTTTTTATACTAATAATGGCGGCGATCAGCGACTTATGGCGGCAATCAGTGACTTATAGCGAGACTGCAGGACTGCGGCGGACATTCTGAGACTGTGGGGAACTGAATTGGTGTCACTGACATCTCCAGTGACACCAATACAGTGATCAGTGCTAAAAAAAAAAAAAGGTTAACTTGAGGGGCAATCAAAGGGTTAACTGTGTGATGGTGTTTTACTAGGAGGTGGGGGGTGTGTGCATCACTGTAAGCACAGCGCTCTGGATGGCTCTGCTCAGCCATCCAGAGCAGTGTGCCCAAGCGGACAGGAAAGAGGGCTGTTGGTAAACAATGCAGCCCTCCTCCCTGTCGGTGATCGTGGTAATCACCAGGCGCCGGCAGGTAATCACCAGCCAGGACCCGGTGATTGACACCCGGGGTTGCGATCAGCGGCACAGGTAGGGCGTGTGCCCCCTACCAGGAAATGCATACTGTATATACATGATCCTGTGCACAGGGGCCGCCCTGTAGCAGTAAATGTACTGTGGGAGGTCCTTAAGCGGTTAAGCTACCTATAATGTTAGTGACCCTTGAGTTGATCTCTTGACAGCCACAAGGGGCATTTTTTTTGGTTAAGTAAATATAATGTGGTAGTGGCAGAAATGTTATTTCATCTTCTCTGCCTTACTTTAAACAATGTCTCTTATTCCCTATTTCTTATCTTATGTCCCTGGTGGTCCATACATTGTGTTACCACTAAAAATAAACACAAAAACACTGCTCTAAGGCTCAGTTCACACTCCTGCCATTTTGGATCCGATTTGTGATACCGAAAGCTGTGAGACATTTGAAATGCCATGCTTCCCTATAGGAGCCATTCCAATTGACACTACTGAAGTCGTTTGAAAAAGGTTCCTGCACTACTTTGAGGCAACTTGGATATTACATCTGCCCATAAACTTTAACAGAAGTCGCATCCAAGTTGAATCCTCATCTAAATAGATGTGATTTGTGACAACATTAAAGGTAAAATACCCAGGCAATCCCTGCTCTGTTAGCCCCTCCCACTCATTGGCTGTGCATAGCAGCTTCCACCTGCACAAAGGAATCTTTTATTAACATAGGCAGTCGGTATCTATACAAAATATCATCCAGAGCACCCAGAGAAGTCCTGGATAATAAGAAGCTGATTAGGCTTTATGTACCAGAGATCCTAATTATAAGGATCAAGCTAAGTGGGACTGTGCATGGCTGGAGATCTGCAGAATTTTCCATGTGGAATGTGATACTTTATTCGCAAGAGATCGCTCCAAAAAAGTACCGGTAAGTTTTATTTTGTTCTTTTTTTTAATGGTTTTCTGTTTGCATGCACTGTAAACCACATATCCCCATACCTGCATGTGACAGCAATAAAAAAAATCAGGCCATCATACCCTGATGAAGCCACGTGACCTGGTGGTGTAATGCGTAGGGGAGGGGCTCTGATGTCACAATTTTTAACCGCCTCCCACCCACCATATAGTCCAATGACGGACGCAAGGCGGTTCTCTCGTTCTGGGAGGACATCATATGACGTCCTCCCATTCTCACCGCGCATCACCGATCCACAGAAAGAGCCGACGATGTTGGCTCGGTCATGTGATCAGCTGTGTCCAATCACAGCTGATCACATGTAAACAGGGAAATGCCGGTTATCGGCATTTCTCTCCTCACGAGCTGTCACGTTGACAGCTCGTGAGGAGAGGAGAGCCGGTAATCGGCATTCCTCGGAGGGGACATGTGCACTGATCATCAGGGCACTGATGATCAGTGTGCCCTGATGATCAGTGTAGCTCCAGCAGTGCCACCTGTCAGTGTCCATCAGTGCCAGCTCTCAGTGCTCATCCATGCCACCTGCCAGTGCCCATCAGTGCCACATATCAGTGCACATCAATGCCACATATCAGTGCCCATCTGAGCTGCCTTTCAATGTCACCTATCAGTGCCAGTCAGTGCCACCTATCAATGCCAATCAGTGCCACCTATCAGTGCTGCCAATCAGTGCCGCCTATCAGTGTGTATCAGTGCTGCCTATCAGTGCCAGTCAGTGCCGCCTATCAGTGCCAGTCAGTGCCGCCTATCAGTGCCACATATCAGTGCTGCCTTTCAGTGCCCATCAGTGATGCCTGTCAATGCCCATCAGTGCCACCTACTAGTGCATCCTATCAGTGCCCATCACTGCAGCCTCATTAGCGCACATCAGCGAAGGAGAAAAATCACTTATTTACAAAATTTTATAACAAAAACTAAGAAATTTTTTTTTTTTTTAAATTTCAGTGGTTTTTGGTTTAAGAAAAAATAAAAACCCAGAGGTGATTAAATACCACCAAAATAAAGCTCTGTCACAAAAAAATTATAAAAAGTTCATATGGGTACAGTGTTGCATGACCAATTGTCATTCAAAGTGTGACAGCGCTGAAAGCTGGAAATTGGCCTGGGCAGGAAGGGGGTATAAGTGCCCTGTAGGCTAGTGGTTAAAGGCAACACACAGCAAGTATACTGCAGCTTTCAAAAGCACACTGTGGATTAATTTTACAATGTTTTAAAGTGATTTTAACCACTAGGCTACATAGGCGGCCCCTGTGCGCAGGATCACGTACATAAACGTGATCCTGCATTCAGGGGTAGGGGGCGCGTGCACGCGAGGTGCGCGACTGCCCTACCCACGGCACCGATCACGGCCGCGGGTGTCAATCGCCGGGTCCCAGCTGGTGATTACCCACTGGAGCCTGGCGATCGCCGACAAACACTGATGGGGAGGAAGGCTGCATTGTTTTCAATAGAGCTCTCATCCCTGTCAGCTTTAAGCACATTGTTCCAAGATCGCAGAGAGGTACACACCCCCACCTCCTAGTAAAACCCTCACCTCACACAGTTAACCTTTTGATTGTCTCCAAAAGTTAACCCCTTCCTCCCAAGTGCCATTATTACAGTGTCCGTGTTTTTTTTTTTGCAGTGATCACTGTATTGATGTCACTGAGGATGTCAGTGACCACAAGTCAGTTCCCCCTCAGTGTCAGAATGTCTGCCGCAGTCCTGCCATAAGTCGCTGATCGCCACTATTATTAGTATTAAAAAAAAAATCCAGTATCTATACTGCCATTTGTAAACATTATAACTTTCACGTAAACCAATTAATTTACACATATTGGGAATTTTTTTTAGCAAAGACATGTCGCAGAGGTCATTTTGGCCTAAATTTATGACGAAATTAGATTTTAAAATTTTTTTACTGGACATGCTTTATAGCAAAAAGTCCAAAATATTGTTTTTTTTCTCAAAATTGTCTGACTTTTTTTTATAGCGCAAAAAATAAAAAACGCATAGGCCATCAAATACCACAAAAAAAAAGCCCAATTCATGGGGAAAAAAGGATGTAAGTTTAATTTTAGTGCAGCGTTGCATGACCGCACAATTGTCAGTTAAAGTAACGCACTAAAGTAGCGCCGTAACACAAACCGCTTATGTAACCGCTTCCTGACCGCCCTATAGCAGAAATACTGCTACAGGGCAGCACAGGTGCGCAAAATCACATGTATATACGATTCGCGCTCCCGTGGTTTTCACGCCCCTCCCAGATAGCGTCAGATTGCCCGTCAGTACACCAGTAATCACATTTAACCCCTTGATTGCCAGGAAGACACTCATACACAATAAACCTCCATTGCTAGTATATTGTGAGAACAGATCAATATCTTTGATCAGATCAGCACTATACCATCATTCACATTAGTATAGTGTTCCCAAAAACACAGCGTTAGCGTGATCAGCCCCGGCACCTGCCAGCACCTGCGTTTAGCCCTTACGCTTACCCCCCCCTTCTCCCCCCGCAAGTGCAGTGTCAGTAGGTCACTGTCACTTGATACATTGCACACCAAACCACAGAATCAGGCCTGATCTCTGTTAGCACTTGCTGGAAAATTTTGATGACTCTCATATGCAGCAGAGTGCCAGTGCCAAGCTTTTGGTGAACTGGCGAGCACCAGTGGTCTAGTACATACTGGTTTTTCACATACCTCTTAGATTGTAAGCTCCCAGGATCAGGCCCCCTCCTAACCCTCTTGTATTGAACTGTATTGTTGCTGTATTGTCTCCCGTTATATTCTAAAGCGCTGAGCAAACTGTTGCCGCTATATAAATCCTGTATAATAATAATAATACCAGCACTGCAGTATGACATGGTGACGTGGTGAGTTCCATAAGTGCAGTACAAGATGGTGCGGTGGCGAGCACAAGTATTGTCCCGCAACCACCATGAATTTGCGCACAGGCCCGTAGAGGCCCTAGTATCCTTCCGGATGCGCTTGCAAATCCCGATTGGCAGCCCACGAATTCTGCAGCAGCCGTACTTCCCCCATTCACTGCCCAACCCAGAATTCAGGTGGAAATAGCAAATTTAACTCATCCCCTTGATTTTTTGGAGCTGTTTTTCATGGAAGATCTGTATGCATTGATTGTGGATCAAAGCATTTTATATGCACAACAATGTATTGCCGCCTACTCAAATTCAAAGCTTGCCAGACCATTCGCATGGAAACTCATTACGGTTTCCGAATTTATATTTTTTTTGGGCCTAACCCTCAAGATGGGCATTACCAAAAAAAATGAATTGCGGTTGTGTTGGTCCACATCATATGCCCATGTACGGTAAATGAAAAATGATTCCAGGAAAATGAAGTCAGCATCCCCATAAATCCTTGTTTTATTGATTGCATGTAATATTCTAATTTTCTGAGATTGTGGATTTGGGGTTTTCATGAGCTGTAAGCCATAATCATCACAATTATGACAAACCATGGATTGAACTATCTTGCTTTGCATATAATGAGTCTATCTCATATATTAGTTTCACCTTTTAAGTTGCATTACTGAAATAAATGAACTTTTGCACAATATTCTAATTTATCGAGTTTCACTTGTAGAATGCTGTAAGGTATAGATCTCAAATAGTGTACTTTTTTTCTTTATATTCCTTATTTAATATTTAAAAAAAAAAACAGACAGGTATGTAAGTAGGACTGTACAACAAGTCGGTTGATGGGCAAGGCCAGAGCAGATAGTGCACTTATTTCATACATTACAGAATAGCATCAAGCTGTTATGCTACCTCATCAATGGGAGACATAAAGTAGGATGTAACATTTTCCCGAATATTGGTAGCATTGCTGGAGCCACTATTAGCAGTTCAATGTGCACCTTCCATGTCATGCATGGGTGAATCCTCAAAATGGTATCCATCATGCTGATGTACAAAGTTGAGTAGAATACTTGCTGCTTCAATAGAAGATATAGCATTTTCTAAGTTTAAAGAAATTGGAGCATGAAGCAAATGCCACTTATTAGGTAAAATACCAAAGGCTCACCCTACTACACTTCTTGCCCTGGTTATGCAATAGTTGAAAATCCTATTCTGTACATTCAGATTGCGATTTGAGTATGGCCTTCTAAGGTGTTCACACACCGCAAATGCCTCATCACTGACAAAGGGTAGAGGAGGTTCACTTGTTCACAGTTCTCTGGAAGGTTCAATTTATTTTCATGTAGCATTTGCCTAAATGAAGAATGTGCAAAAATACTGGAGTCTCAGTTGCTTCCATACGACCCAATATCTATGTAGGTAAAGCGATCATTTGCATTAGCCACTGCTAACAGAATAAGAGAAACATTTATTTTGTAATTCAATTTGGAAAATTGCAGCACTCCCAAAAAACTAGGGCTATATTGGTCCTTTTCACCTCTCTTCCACCCATACACCGATGACTACGGAAATGTCCTCATTCCATCACATCGCCCAATCCCATATCCTACTCCGTCCCCAATGCCCTCCATCTTAGCACTCCATCACTCAATGGGTTTATTAGCCAACTCCTGTTCCCAACACACCATTCCAACTCCATGAAACTCAATCCCCAAGGCCTTTACCCTGCAGTCATGGGTATGAGGTCAACCTCATACCCATGACCCAACATTTTTTTTTTTTTTTTATGTTAAGGCCACCCCATGACCCGTTTAGCAGTTTTTACATTTTGGGTCATCTACTGGAGCGTGGATATATATATATATATATATATATATATATATATATATATATATATATAAAAGTTTACAATTGTTTTTTATATATTTTAAACATGATTTGCCTTCCTTGCTTGGGGGAAGCTAATGTCAAAGTTTATACCATGATATTAGCAAATAAATATTTTATATGTTTTATAATGGCCTGAATAAAAAAGGTTTATTTTTTGATAATGGGCTTACCATTTTTGTAACTATTTTCATAATAAAAATAAATTCTGGTTGAAGTATGTGCTAATTTCTTTTTGTTTTAGGAGGTATATTGTTTAATATATGGTTTTCTATGGGTGTATTTAACAAAATATATGGTGCAAAAGCTGGTGCTGTTCTGCATTGAAACCAATCAAGTTTTTTGGTCAAAGCTAAATCGAACAATATGAAGTTACAGGATGATTGGCTACCATGCACAGCTGAACAAGAATCAGAATGCTTCAGTTTTAGTACATCTCCCCCTATATTACTATATGCATATAACTATCAAGGGTGCAATAAAATATACTGTTGGTGTGAATGCCACAATGCACATGAAAAATAGTTATGTAATTCATAGCTTACCTCAGTGTAATTATTAATCTTTCAGTATGTGAAATACTCTATTGGAAGGATGCGCTCTGCCACTGTAGATAGCTGGAGAGCAAACCCAACAATTAATCAAAACTCTGTGACCAAGCCCCAGTGGGCAGGGTGAAACGTGCCGGAGGGTGTGACCAGTATGGCAGATGAGGCCATTCCTCTACATTGGACTCCTGGAGTCAGTTGAGCAGCGTCCATCCCTTCACTTGTATTGGTTGACACTGGAATCGCTTGGACTCATGCTCCCCCCTTCGCACTTGCCGGTGGGGTGATCCTTTTCCTTCCATCCATAGCTTGGAGCGGCGCCATAATGTATACTTTTCAATTCGTCAAGCTGTTTAAGAAAGAAAGGGGTTTGCTACATACACAATTACAAAATCAAGTTCTAAACACAATTTTGAGCTGTAAAGGAATAGTGGCAATACACAGGTAGAGATAGTAGGTGGACACACACAAAATGACATGGTCAGCATGCATATGCACATTTGTAAGAAAAAAAACATTTCTAATGTGCCCGTAGACATCGACCATATGTACTCATCTTGTCATGGATATGCAGGTGTAATTTAAGAACTTGTCCTCATGAGCACATGACCCAGAACCGTCCTCTGCCTTCTCTATTTGCAATGACTGGATGGATACAGTACCTACACC